GTCGTGGGTCCCAATATTAACTATTTTTCACTCTCTTTTTCTTTTAATGTTTTTCAACTTTATTTTTATTAACAAAGTCCAAAATAAATAAATTATTCCTGTTTTAACATCGTTAAGACACAAAATATTTCATATCTCATAAAAATCAATATATTAAGAATGAACTTCTTAATTGAGTTAATAAATTAACAGTATAGTCAAATTAATTAAAGAATTTAGTAGTAGATTTTTTATTTTATTTATTCCCTTGGAAGGAGAAAAAAAAAAGGAATTACCTGTCAAAAAGTGGGGTCATGAGTCCACTTTGGAGTGGAGAGAGACATCCAAGCTGAGGCAATTTGTGTAATGGACTATTGACGGTAGAGATGATGCCAGGTGTATCAAAGAATGTTGGCTAAGACAAGATTTTTGTTGTCTGCTTCTGCCTAATGTGGGATCCACTATGAAGACCTCAGCTGACTGACAGAGATTCTCTCTGCCATTCTTTTTTTTGGATTTATTTGAAAATTATGTGCACTTGTTTTTGGGAGTTCTAATATTTTTTTTGTTCTTTTACTTCCAATTTTACATATTATATATATATTTTATTAATTTTACTTAATCACTAGTTTATAAATTCACAACAACTATTATCATTTTGTTAAAAATTTTAAAAAATAAATATTCATTATCTCGAAATATTTTTAATTTGATATTTTTACTCATCCTAAAATGATATTTTTTGATTAAATAATAATATATAATTTATACAAATCATTCTTATAATAACTTCTATTAATCATAACTTTTTATGATCCTAAGAGAATAAATTCTCTCGAAATTATTCATTCAAAAAAAACCCTAAAAATTTGTTTCTCAAAGCTTCCTAATTTTCTACCTACATGCAGATCCAATAATTAATATTATATTTTTTTTCCATTTGTTTGATTAAAATTTTAATTTTTTGTTTATTTAATTAGAAAAAAAATTTGATTGAGGAACTTGGATGAATTGAGTATAGGAGTGTCCAAATGAAAATGACTTTGTCCACTAAAAGTCAATGGTGGAGCAAAGGCACAATAGTTTTTTCATCAGTTGATAATGATTGTGAGATGTCCAATCATTAAGGGGAAAATTAACAAACAAATCCTAGGTAGCAACTTTATTAATAGGGGTTTCTCATTGCCAATTTTTCTTGAGTGGTGGCTATAGGGCTTCATCATGCCTATTTACCATGATCCCTCCTTCTTTATTATATAAATATAATACACTTTTTTATTATAATTTCTTAAAAATCACATTATTTTCCTTTTTAAATTATTTATCAAATTTTGATTTTTACAAAAATTAAGACAAGAGTTTTAATTTTGATACATCTTATATTAAATTATAGATATGTAATAATTTTTAATATGAAAAATAAATTTATAATATAGAAAAAATAAGAATATTGAGTGTCTAAAAATAAAAAAAATCATTTTGTAACATTAATATGTGGTTTTTTTATATTTTATTGGATCAAAGAAGCAAACGATTTAAGGCAGCATGGTAAAGGTGTAAGTTGATAAGAGGGGGAAAAAATAAAGGGAAAAGAAAAGCAAAAAATAAAAAGAAAATTATCTCTTTTTTCCCCAACATTTCGCCTTTTTCTATATAATCAAACACAATATTATAATTAACTAAGACCAATTAAAACTTAAATACCATATCCTCTATATGGTATAAAATTAATGGTAATAAATATTTTTTGATGTTGACAAGTTCACTTCTAAAGTCAAGATAATCATAATTATCTTTGAAGATCATGAAGATTAATATTATAAATTAATAGTACTAAAATAGATTGGATTAAGTTTCATGGTGGGAGCACTGCAGAGCATTAATTATTATTATTTGTTTCATATGATATTTTAATTATATTTTTCCATCCCTTTCTTTTTTTCTATCATAATAAAATTATAATATAGTATTCTATTCTTTTAGATTTATATGCATACTCATGGAACAAGCATAAGATTCAATTTTTTAAAGGCATGGGCAACTTCTCTATTGTGTCAAGTGGCTTGAAATTGGCAAGGATTCCGAAATCATGCATGACAATAGGCAACAACACATTACATAGCTGAGTGGTTATTGCTTTTAATTTAAATGTTTAGAAGGATAAATGGGTTAAAAAAATTATGAAAATCATCTTATACTTTATGTGCCAAAATCGAATTTTAATTTTGAGTCTTAATATTCTTGTTTGTAAAAATCAAAATTACGAAATTGAGAAAACTCAAAAAAATCCATCAATTTTTTTTCTTTTAGTATCAAATTACTAGAAAAGAAAAACCCAATTTTCCTTTCCTCTCATTCCTCTTTTTCTTCTATCAATGGTTATAGAATTTTCCTTTTTTTGGGCTAAGCAAATAAATAAATATTGAATCATAAACCCAAAATTTTTTTCTTACACTAGCAAGTAGCAACTTTATTATAAATCATAAAACATTGAATCAAAGCATAAAAAGTAGGTAAAAAAATGAAAAAAAAAATAATGGACATGACAGACATCTACCCCATTGGGTGACCCCATCATTTCCTCAAAATGTTGATCTTATTGTCAAATGTTTCTGTGGATTGACATCATAGTCCTCCAATTAAATTGCACCTATTTGGAAACCTATGCAGCCTCTAATAATATCCCCACTAGGCAAAGACAAATAAGATGATGATAAACCTACCTTTTTTAATCTTTTTTTAAATAAATAAAACTTCAAGAATTCCATCACTTCTCATATTAAAATCACTTAGAAAGAAAGTAACTTGCTTTTTTAACCACAATTTGACTTTCTTAGGAACATTTTCATATTTTATTCTCCTTTTCTTTTTTTTTTAATTTATCAATACATCAATACAAAGTGGCCAAACTCCCCCCCTAAGTCATTTCACATGACAAACATTACCCTGTAGGAAAGTCGTCTCAAAAATCCCTTCTTTTTCATTTCATTAAGAAAGTGAAAAATTTGTTGACATCTGCACCAATAATTCAAATACGAGGTGCTCTCCATGATAACATCTTATGTGCATTCTTTTCATTTTTTTAAATATATGAATAAGGTTTAGGCTCTAATTCAAGTAAGAAATTCAAAAAATTTTAAATAATTATAAAGTTCGAGTACTGTAATTATTAATAAAATTCGAGATAAGAGTGAGTACCGTTCTTATTGACAATAATTTCACCTGTCAATTCCTAATTTTTTATTTTTTATGATAGGATTCAATTCCAATTCTAAAAGCAAAGTTCATCCTGGTGGAGACAAGGGACAATTTTTATTTATTATTATGCCTAAATATCTAATCAAAGGTGCCTTAGATTACCCTAGATAGAATATTCAGTTTTTAGATATGGAGCAATCAATTTTATTAGTACCCGGCACGCAACTATGACTTTGATGATTGTCCTTTTTCATTAGTCAAAGGAGAATGTGCAAGCAATACCAATTTTTTCTTTAGATTAATAGAAGATTTGATTTTGATAAGATTAATAAATATATAATACAAAATATAAGATAAAATGAAACTGGGTCCTCATGATGCTTTTATAAAGGTCTTGATGTGTGTAATGGAATTCAAATTATGTTCTTTTTTATTATTAAATTAATAAACAAAATTCACATTAAGACCCTGTTTGAAATAGAATAAAACTTTTTTTTACAAAAGATTTGAATGTCATGTGTGTTTAGAAGACAAAAAAATGCAATCTATATGTTAAATAGTCTACGAATCAATGAGAAAAGTACTTTTTATTGGCATAAAATGTCTTACACTCTTTATCAAATCAATGAGAAAAACACTTATTACTCGCATAAAATATCTTACACTCTTCACAATGAAATTATTAAAAAAAAATGACAAAACACTTGTTCCGGTAAAATATCTTACACTTTTCACGTGAACTTAGAAAGCCATGAAATTATTTAAAAATGATATAAACATCTATTTTTCATATAAAATGTCTTACACTTCTCACTAAAGATTAAAAAGCTATAAAATTATTAAAAAAAATGAGAAAAACACTAATTGTTCGCATAAAATATCTTACATTCTCTACTTAATCAATAAAAAAAATGCCTATTGTATGCATAAAATGTTTTGCACTCTTCACAGGAGATTAAAAATTTATGAAATTATTAAAATAAATGAGAAAAATACCCATTCTTTGCATTAACTTTCTACTTATTGTTCACATAAAATGTCTTATATTCTTCAAGGGATATCTTACACTCTTCATGCGAGATTAGAAAGCTATAAAATTATTTTTAAAAATGAGAAAACATCCACTTTTCACATAAAATGTCTTACACTTTTCACTAGAAATTAAAAAACTATGAAATTATTAAAAAAAGAGAGTAAAACACTGATTCTTCACATAAAATATCTTACACTCTTTATAGAATCAATGAGAAAAACACCTAAATTATAAAAAAGAAACATAAAATTATTTTAAAAACTGAAAACAACATTCACTTTTCGTATAAAATGTCTTACACTTTTCACTAGAGATAAAAAAAGCTATGAAATTATTAAAAAAATGAGCAAAACACTTATTGTTCACATTAAATAACTTACACTCTTTACCGAATCAATGAGAAAAACACCTAAATTATAGAAAAGAAAAAAAAAAAGAAAAGGAAAGAGTCCAGATCCACAATTTCTAATCGTTGGATCAAAGGAAAGTGATGGGCCCCGCCACCACAAGATCAGTTCGGAATCCTCATAGCTTTTACCGTGCACCTGCCAGGAATCGAACCCGGCTGTGTTGTGGCAGAATACTATTCTGCCACAAAACCACTAGTGCTTGTTGATGTTCCCATTTCCAAATATAAACTTGCAAAAAAATTCCTGCCATGCAAGATTGGGTTCGTTTGCATTAAAATTACAAGGTGGTGTAGATTCTTCTGATAATATTTATTAAATCACAATAAGATTGCCAAGCTTTTTTTGTTCTTTCAGCAATTCAAGACAATATAGTACTACAAGTTTGTAACATGGTCGTAAGTTCATAGTGAAAAACACAAGATAATTATAATAGTACCAGGCTAAGTGGGAAACTTTGATTTATATCGCCTGTTTGACATACAATGTTAAAGGAAAATGACACACAAAAAAGAAAAAAGTATTGTTTCTTTTGTAATGCTTGAGTTTCCATGGCTTCCCTTCTCTATCTTTGCAGGGTCAATGGCTTTACTTGATTTTCCAAGATGGGGTTTTGCTTTACCGTCCTTTTGGATTGACAAGTTGAGAGAAGATGGCACTCTCATTGTTAACTTCCTCACTCACTTCGTGCTCACTTCCAAGGCTGAGGTTGCCTACATGTAATCCTTGCCTTTGGCTTCTTACGCTGGAATCTGTTGAACGGACACTTCCTTGATCATCTGTTGAACTCGAACCACCGCCCTTGGAACCGTCTGCGGTTTCTTGCAATTGGAGAGCAAACTCAAGATTCCACAACACATCACCCATGTGAGGACGCTCAAGTCCATGATCAGATAAGCACTTCTCTGCTGTATCTGCAAATTTCTTTAGACATTCGGGATCGATTTTTCCCTTCAAATGAGGGTCAATGATGTCTTCCAGAACTCCTTTTTTTTGACAATGAAGTGCCCAATCTGCAAGACTAACTTGTTCCTTTGGGAGGCTAGGATTGAGAGCTGGTCTAGCACATAATGCCTCGAAGAGGACAACA